TAACAAAATGCATTATCAGGTTGGTTCTGAAGTTCGACTAAAAAGAGTGAGTGACAGTGAACCGTCCATTTTCCAACTTCTACACAAAAGCAAGCTCAGTACCAACTATCATTCTCTGGAATAAATGAGAATCACTCAGGCAATTCACCTGAACTGGCTGGGCTATCAGGCTGGTATTTGTTATCTTTATTGTCATTTCTACTAAGCTTTTAACAATAGTAAACTAATTATTGAAAATTAAAAGCCAATATTCTACGTCTAACCCCTTCTGATGACTTAACCAGCACTGCAGTGGACTTTGAAGAACCGGACTTTATATGGTATTCTTCGACCTAATATAAAAAATCCTGCTTACTGAAACCGTAAACTACAACCTTTGATTGAGAGAATTATACCCTTTCAACTTTTAAGCTTACTCTTCGATATCCGCAGACTGAAAAGTGGCAACAGAATTTTGTGCAACGGATGTTGTCCCACTAATCTGCGAACGACGTGCTAGGCGTGGTTCAAAGAGTCGTGCCTCTGTATCAGCTACATGTAAAATCTTAAGAAATAGAAATTTCAGCTAATATCAATAGTTACGTAACTACCAAAAAAAATATACAAAAACAATTTGCCTGAAAGGTATTTAAATTAGGATTTAGACGCATACGGACGAGCCACACATAGTATTCAGTTGGAGATATTCCGGTACTTTTCCATGCTAAGTATATAACAAGTGAAGCTAAAACAAGGACGAAGATCCATATAATCTAAAAAAGAAAGTAACCCTATACAAGAAAAAATGTAAAATAACAAAGTATCTTGTAAAAATAACAAAGCTCTGCAGTTTTTTAACCGGTCAAAAACTGTCTGCTGCTAATTTCAGATTGACTCCCTGAACAAAGAGAGGAAACGTAAAAAAGCTTAAAAAACAATTTTTTATTGAAAAAAATTAAAACAAAAAGCTATAGTTTAATGTAGATGATAGCATAAAATAAAACTGCAAATAACTCTAAATTTTTACCTCGTCACCAACCCCTTCGATGAAGTGAGGCATTGTCAGCTAAAAAAAAAAGTGAAGGAAGAGATAAATCACTGGAGCTGTTACATCTAATGGATAGCTGCAAAGAAAAAAAAAAGAGCAAGAAAACAAAAACATTACAATAAATGAACAAAGAGCCTTGATGACTAATAATTAAATTAAAACAATATGAAATACCATTGAACTCGTCGTGCACGATTTTAATATGCCGAAAAAATATTTGTTTTTTTTTTGCCAAATTTGATGAAACGGCCAATCAAAAGAAGTTTTTTTTTTTGCTAGATTATAGCAAAAATAATCTTTTTGCACATAATATAGTAAAAAATCTCCGATCAATCTTTTCCTTGGCTCTTTCAACCGTTTATAAGTCATACAACAAAAGAGTAATTGCTGAACATACATAAAAAATAAAAAAATTTTCATAACAAAGTTGTAGGCATCAAATGAATGTCTAAAGAACTGATACATATATGAATCCATGTATACGAACTAAACATCAACCATGCTTTTGTCAACAACTTAAGAGAATAGCCAGTTTACGCCTTCTGTTGTCCAGAATGAGAAAATGGGCAAACAAAAAAAGAAAAAAAAATGAGAAACTTGAACGACGACAAAATCACAGTTGGGCATTTAGCCAATAAGAAAAATCGATTTCGTTTCGAAATCGCCGCCAATCATTCGTCATTAACAGCAGTTATTATTTTTTCTTTTTTTTTTTTGCTGTATGCCACTGCTTCCATTCGAACATGATTCTGCTTTGTTTTTTCTTTTTCTACATAAATCAAGCATTAAACCTACTGCCGCTTTTACGGAAATTCTGTTTTACTGAACTGAAATGAATTCATAAATGTTTAACAGTGCTTTGCATCAGACAAACTGTTACCCTTTTTGGAGAAATACATATTGAATTTCATCAATAAGACAGCAGAAGGACTAATAATAGCATCGAAAAATCAATTTGATTACCCAACACAGTAGGATTTTCATTCAGTTCGTTATCCAAAACTTATCACTTCATTCCTGGGTGAACTTTTTCTTTCTGCAGAAAAATGTTTTTAGTTACCAAAAAAAAAGACCTATATGTGCTGTAAATTATATGAAAATTTAAAGATGCGCTGAATTAGGGGAAAAAATATTTCGATGAAGCCTAGAAATTGTTTACAGCAGATAAATTAAGTAGAAAATTTTACCAGTTTAATGAACCGCTGTGATTACCACATGTGACAACGGTTTTTGCTGTTGAAGGAATTACATCGGACGATGATGGCAACAGACCAATAGATTTTTCTTCTCCTTGCGTAATGATTATAACAGGTCATATAAGAGTGATTTAATCAATGGAAGAACAAAAAAGATTTGTTTCTCTCTGTTTCTCATGGCCATTATTCGACAGCCATGCAGATGACATTTGGATTGACGACTCGATTTAACGAAGGAGAAAAAAAAAGAACATCTGAGGTTTGGGATTGTAAAAAAAGAAAAAAAGAAAAAGAGCAATTCTGTTTTAGGAAAAAAACTCGCTTTTGGATGCTGTACTTCTTGACGAACTATGAAACAATAAAGTACTGCTGCTGAAAACGATAATAAATTTACATTTTACGTTATACAGTTGCTATGGTCATCAGTTTTAGAAAAAAAAAAGAAAACTAGTTGACTCGAATTAAAATAACAAATAATATATTTTTGAAAATTCATCACATCTTAGTAAAAAAAATGTCTAAGCAAAAAAAAAAAAACTGAACAGTTAATGCTGAAGCATGTAGCTTTTTTGTTCACGCAGTTGGACCACTGTATTTATATCACTGAAAGTGGTAGGTAGGTTTGATTGATGTAATTAAAAAATTTTTGATATTGACTATTTTATGGGTTGTTCTTTTTTACGCAAGAACTGAATAAAAAATATTTTAAAAGAAATTTGAATAAGAAGTGACTAATTTTTTATTTTCAAACTAAAATAAGAGATGAATGATGACCCAGTAAATGTATAGGGATATAATTCTTGTAAAAAAACCGATTTCAAATTCACTTTAGATGGTTTCGGAAAGCGACAAATATGCTGAAGTTTGAATTCTGTTTGCACTAAGAAAATCTCGGAAACGTGATGGTTGTCTGAACTCAGCAGTTACCAAATTGCGGAGCGATGAATAAATTTGTGAGAATAAATATTTTTTGGTGTAACTGGCTTCAGACGTATCGATAATATTAGTGAAAAAAGTATAATAACAATCGGTAAAAGGATAACAAAATTAAAACCTTATCCCAACATCTTTTTCTATTTTAATCCTTTTTTTTTTTTTGATTAAAATAAAGTTTCTCAAAATCAACGTGAGCTGTTGATTTGAATCAAAATAAATTGTGCTAGAAGTTGTTTTAAGTTCCACTTTACCTCTGTCTTCTTTACTGTCACTACATTACTATTAGCTGGACTATGTTCTCATCTGGGAGCGGTTTTGTAGATCTTATTTCAAACGCTGTAACATTTTTTTGTACTAACTAATTACCCTTCATGTAGTTTCATCTCTTAAGCTAGATTATTCAAATTCTTATGCAACATCGTTTGCAGTTTTAATCAGTACTTCAATTTCACTGATAATTTTCACTAAAAAGGCGATTTAAAAAAAGAAGAAAGTTAATTTGGATGGTGGATTATCACAACTCGGATGTTAAATCCACTTCACTAGGACTATCACTGAAATGTAAAACAGCAGCATGCGGAAAACTCAGTGTAGCCGTTTTTCACGTATTGAGAGACTAAATTTGAACATTTTTTAGACGAAATTTGTATTCAACCTTGCTTGTTGATGACGAGCATCACGAGGTGTACCGATGTACAACTTTAAAAACTCTTTAAGATCTAATTTTGGGTCCTTTAAATCATCAAAAAGAAGACTGAGCCACATCAGTCGAAATACTTCTCCGTAGTGCTTCTAAGTTCAATAGTGTCATAAAATTTGGATACAAACATCATTTTGAGTTTGCAATCAAAAAGTAGCCGGTAAAAGCCAGAATAGGACTAAAGAATAAATGCGTCACAGAAACCGTCTCGTGCAGCTTTTTGAAATGATAATGGTAGTTTACAGCTAATCGATTAAAGGACTGTTGTAATTTGGTAAAATTCTTTTCAACATCTGTCCTCAACTCAACTTTTTTGTCTCAAGTTTATAACTGCTAAACCATTATTGTTTGATATTCGTCATTCATACTTTGTCTGATCAAAAATGCTGTGCCATGTTGAAATCCAGATTTGCCACATGGTAAGCACTGTCTAGATTTACAGCCGTCATTGCAAGTCACTGGGAGGAAAAGAGCATTCAGTACAGAGGAAATGAAAAAAATATATTTTTTTTTGAATGGCATACTTAAACTTTTTTTTAAACTCTAAAATAATACTTAGTTCTTAATATGCTGGTATCTTTTGCAGGCTTGAATGATTTTTTCAATTATTCACTTACTCGATGAACACCTTTAATTGTATAACGATCGTTTGTTTCTCCTTCTTCTTCAATTCCATTTCTTCTCAATGTAATTCATCAACATAAAAAGCTTTCCGGTATAGGATGAGGTTTCTCAAACAACGAAGAATCCTTTTATGTTTTTTGCCTATAAGGAATAAAACTTACTGTTGGTTTTTTGCCAAAGATTTATCGCATTAAAACTCTGTTCAGTTACAGAAGTAAAAAAGTTAGCTATTTTACTTTACCAGAACTTTATTAACTGCAGCTCTGCATTAGCCAACTAAATACAGAGAAGAGCTACAGAAAATAGCAGAAAGATATACTCCTGGAGATCTTTGCTCATGCTGTAAATTCATATAATATTCTCGATAAATTGCAAATAAGACAAAAAAAAACTTACTGAATTTGTTTACTATTTTTTTTTCTCATTTCTTTTTTTGAAACTTACATTGAATGGCACATTAAGGGGTTGACCTGTAATTTGTAGGACTTTGAATGCGACAAATAACTGACATTTTTAGTAAAAATATGTAAAAGTACATCGATTTTGAAGCAAACTTTCAAGCAAATACGAAAAGAACAGAATCAGTTAGAGAAGACAAGCGAAATAAAGTGGTAGTTTAAAGAAGGATCTAAAAACTTGATTTCGACATAGATTTTCAATATTCAAGGGAAAAAAGACAATTCTTCACGGCAATAATTCACAATTTCCTTGTACAACGGCTATACAGCTATAACACGGCTCATCACTTACGCTTTCGTTTTGATTGTCACTTAGTTTAATTATTTACTCCTCGTAAACCAAACTGTTTCTTTCAGAATTTCATTTTTGTGCTTTGTATCAATGTTGTTCTAAAATTATAATCGGTAAATGATAAAAATGAATGCCTAAAAAATACCTCTAAATAGTTCTTGACATATAATGCTTTACAGACTATAAAAAAACGCATACGAATGATATTGTTGATCGTTACAAATCTAATTTAATCATATGTGACTAATTGTCTTTAACTCTTTTTTTCTAGGAACAATGAATCGTTATGAATAATACTGGCGAAACTCTGACCAGACGAAACAAAATAATTTTCAGATGAAATTTGCATTGGCTTTTTTGATCCTTATCACAATTATAATATTTGTTGAAATATCAAACTGTGATGCGCTGCCTAAATCAGATGCTCTTCAAGCCCGCCGTAAACGTGAAGGTGTATTGAGCACTAGGTGGATTTCCCGTAAAGGTTTCCAATACTTTTGCGTACATTTGAATTACATTTCTATAATTACGTTTGACCACCTTTTGTTACAAATCTTGTTGAAGGTGGGATCGATATACCAATTACACTACAATCGCTGATAACGTGTCTCACACCTGGCCTAAACGATCTTGTGTGCCTAGGTCCCCGAGTTGGTTTGTTTGAACCCCGTGAGGTTATTTTGACTAGAGAAAAGGGAACTTCATTTGGTTACAATGACGGCGTAGACCTCAGGTTATAGCTTTACATCTACAGAGGAAAGTAAATGAGATTAATAAACCAAATAACTAAGTTTGTCTGATTATATGCAAATGGTAAAGTAAAAGAAGACTTTTTCAATAATTAATTGTCTTGATCGCCAGTTAGTAATCAGA